GGGAAATTAACTCATACTGCAATAATAATAGCTTGCTTTTGGTATGAAGCTACGTAATATTCTAGGTAGTCATAATAATTAACTTTGACGTAGCTATTTTCTATTTTCCTAGTTTCTGTATATTAACTTGTGAGAAATAACATTAATAACCCTTTTCATATAAAACAACATTAATCAATACTGTAAGATTGTATCTTACCGTTAGTATTGTAAATTAAAGAAAACTTTTATCAGTAATCTAAATGATTTAATAGCTGTTAAATAAAAATTTAAAATCCAAATCATAAGTTTTTGTCAGTAATCTGAGATTTGATTTTAGTAAATAAATACTATGTTATCTTTTTGTTGAGTTGTTTCAACCGTAGATCAATTTCGTGCTCATGGAGATTGGAAAGTTTGCTATTTTCGGGAAAAGTCCCGACTACAATAGGTATGACCATACCAAAAGAAGGAAAGCTATTTTATGAGTATGCATCATTGTATAGGAGGGTTGCGACTAATATTGAATTATTAGTATATCTTAATTAAGAAATCGATGGTGACAGACAAACCAATTTTTTTTCTACCATTTTTCAGGTGAAACGCATCTGTCATTCCATTACAACATATACAAGATAATTATTCATCTGTAATTCATCCAAACAATATTTTATATGTAGGAAAGTCACTTATAGTACACAAAAGCATTGTGCGCATCGTAAAATTTATTTTCGTTGAACAATCATATGTCATCATCCTTCTTAACCACAAATTTTTCATCTCTTTTATCGGAGGTTGTAGAAAAATGTCGAGCGACATTTTTGAATGCTTCAGACCAGGTATTAATATAGTCATGAATAAAAACTTTTGTCGCGTGCACATCTCTGGTGGCAGATTCTATGGCGTAAGAAAGAATGACCACAACGAATATTATCTCTCTGACATTCCAAGATACACATTTCGGCATAATTCAAGATACAGATTTCGGCTATTGCTAACGAAATCTGGATGTACTTTGTTAAAATGTTTCCAAGCTCTTGCATCTGATGGATGAGTCATTTCACCCTCTGTCTGAGTATGCTCGGCATGCCATCTCATCGCTCTAGCAGTCTCTTCAGATTAGTACAATCTTTTCAATCAGTCTGTAATTGGTAGGTAGCACATCCTTTGGTACGGTATCCTATTACGCCCTCGTTCTTGTGGTTTGAATCGTGACTTCTTGCAGAATCGACATTCTTCTAACTTCTCATCATCTCCTCAGTAAATCATGTAATTGCCGATGCAAACTTCTATCATCTCCGAAGGCAACCTAAGACAATAAACTAATTTCTGAATCTCATATAAGAATCAGCAATTACATTTTCTTCCGGCAAATACTCTTTAAACAAGTCTGCCCATGCATCCATGCAATTTTCATGTAGATTGTGATCATTTTTAATATTTATCATTCTAGCAACCAACGACAGTTTAGAGAGACCTTCTCTACAACCAGTGTAAATTGGCTGATTCGCAGCATCTAATATTTCATAAAACTTTTTCGCATCTATGTTAGGTTCTTTAACTTCATCATGAGCTACAAATGCATCACCGACCATAGCATGAACTCTATCATAATCTACCATCTGTTCCTTTTGATGGTAACTATTTTCATTATGCAAATGATCAACCGGTTCAACCTGAAAATTATTATTACTACTGCTAGCTTCATTCTCTCAACTATAACCTTCTCCATGTTGAAATCAAATATAGTAATGTGGCATGAAACATCTATTTACTAAATGCTTCCAAACATTTTCACGAGGGCCTAATTTTGAATTGTTGCATTTTCGACAATGACAAAACATCTTACCGCTTTCCTGCGTAAGCAGTGTAGAATCTGCTTGATGCATAAATGTTTCCAGTCTTTCGAGAAATTCTTTTGTCACTCTCCCTTTATCATCTCTATGTGTATACATCTACCTCCGACTATCAAAAATATTTCCATCACCGGACTTTTTTTTTCTTTCACATTTTTAAGTTTTTCTTCTCTTTTAAGTTTTCAGTTTTTTAGTGTGTTTTATTTTAAACCCAAATGACATATTTATAGGAAAATTTTAAAGTTGGTATGTGACAGTGTATTACAAATTTACGAGGAAAATCATTACACTACATACATGTTTACAACAAAAAAATAGTTGCACTCGTTATTTCCTCGCTAAAGGGTTTCCTCATAAAATACACACAACGTTAGTACTTTACGAGGAAACACAGTATGCCTCGTATATTTCTCGCTAATTAACGTATTTTTTACGAGGAAACTTTTTTCTCGTTAATTAATGATAAATCTACGATGATTCATTATTTCCTCGTAAAATACTCATAAAATACACGTAAATTTATGAGAACTCAATTTCTTCATAAATTTTCGTAGTTAAAAAATTGTTTTCTTGTAGTGTAAACATTTGAAAGCAATTGTTAGGCATAGTTAGGTTAGTATATATATTAACTTGTAAGAAATAACATTAATAACCCTTTTTCATATAAAACAATGTTAATCAATATTGTAAGAGTATATCTTATAGTTGGTATTGTAAATTAAAAAAAACTTTTATTAGTAATCTAAGAAGATCTTCATTGGGGGTTTTATCCCTATTGAAGTTCTAAACTTTTATATATGTATATATATATATATATATATATATATATGTATGTATGCAAGTGTGGAATCCATTATTTTGTGGAGAACTTCACCCTAAAAATTCTTAAAGTAAAGTTTTAAATACGTTTAAAATGGAGGTCTCCACAAAATAGTAGATCTCATACCTACATACACATATATATAATATATACTTATACAAATATAGAAGTTTAGAGTTTCAAGGAGTAGAACGTTTCAACGAAGATGCTTTAAGTGATTTAATAGTCGTTAGCCAAAATTTAAAATCCAAATTATAAGTTTTAGTCCATAATCTGAGATTTAAATCAACCACTCAAAAGTAAATCTAATCATAAAGAAAAATAATTTGACAGAAAATAAGTGTACAAAAATCACAAAATACATATATCTTACCAACGTAATTTAACACTGAATGAAACACGCTCTCTTACAAAAGAACATCTAAACGTATGTTAACTAATTAATCTCTTAATTGAGATCGTAAACCTAGTATTAGCTAAATGTTATAAATAATTTATATATTAAATTTTGATCCGCACTTCAAAACGCGAGATTATTGTTACTTTCAAAATTTTAAGTTTTATGCATAACTTATTTTTATTTGTTGTTATTTTAGTTATTTTTAAAAAAGTTTTAAATAAAAGCTACACTTTTATTTTGGGATATAAAAATTTCATCGTCTGAGTTTGAGCCGCTCAATTCAAATTTTTATTTTTTTTTTTTTTTTTTTACAATAATTAGCTGTCATATCAAGCCTTGTCTACTTTTATTTGTTTCGATTTATGCAATTTTATATTGAGAACTATACCTATATTTATTTTTTTATAAATTTCAAAAAATTTAGTTTCTATGATTAGAAGTCAAATTTATTAAAATATAAATAGATTTTGATTATTTTAGATACTTTTAGTACCTTTGATAATATTTTGTATATTTGATAGAAGAACCTGCAAAAAATATAAATGTAGGATATTTTTAATAACCCAATCCATCGTATAATAACATGATATAATTTTATAGTTTTATCAGTAATTTACCAAGCTTTATTAATTATATAATAAATTAAATATAAATTATAATGAATTTGTAGTGATAACTTTAAAATCAAAATTTGAAATTATGTAATGTTTTTATGTAAAATGAAAAAAAAAATATATATATATATATATATATTAGAGATAAAACTTATTCAAAGTATTATTTATATATAGTCTCATGCAAATATATTATACTACAATTTTATTTTATTAAAATATTGTTATTTGATTAAAAATCATATTTGTTAACATGTAAAGTCTTTTTGTATTCTAAAACTTTTAGTACTCTTGATAACTATTTTTTATAGTTGATGGAATAACCCAGAATTGTAATTGTTAAATATTAATATTTAATCATAACCTGATCCATCTTTATTTCCTTTTAAATTGGATTTTTAACTTTGGAATATATCATCACCAAAAAAGTATTTTTAATATATCACACATTGATTTTGTATAGTAGTTAGAGCAATAGTTCTGGCACAGTGAATTTTATATAAGATTTGCATGGGTTGTGGGTGAATTAAATTATTTTCGAAACCACCATTTCAGTAAAATGTACCATGTTACTATCTAGTAGATTTTACTAAAAAATAAATAACTACGTTTAACATTTAAATTTGTGGCCATGAACATTAAATTCGGGATACTCTGTTGCCACAATAAAAATATGGTTACATATATTAGATATAACGAGTCATACTGACCGGTATGAAGTCATGGCGTGTTGCAGGATTTAAAGAAATAGAGATCTAAAAATTTGAAGTTTTTAATTAACAAAAAAATATCAAAACGTTTTCCATTTCTTTAAAAAAAGGCACACAATACTTATTAAGTAGCAGAATGCCTTACAATGTTGTTCGATTACTAGGAAGTTTCAAATTGGTAACGTTTTATTGATCTTAATTCAAAATGTTACTTATTCTATTTTCATTCTGAACAAAACAAAATTGGTCTAACCCAACGACCATAGACCATAAAGAGTCAAGTTTGATTTTTATATCACTTTAACATATTAATAAGATTCTTCTTTCTAAGCACTTTTTTTTCCAAAGCATATAGATAAAATTATAGGTAAAAGTTATGCAATATGCATCGTCTTATATGCAAAAATAGTCTCACAGGCAGATCAAGAGAAATTAACAATTTAAAGTTTAACTGAAGATTTTATCAAACATACGTATTACTAATCCAGTTACACAGATTATTCAAGGACACATATAGTATTAACTTCTTTGACGTGGATATTTTTCGTACTCGCACGTTCGTATTCAAATAGAAGCAACTATGTAAAATACTCAAATTTTGAGCAAATATATAGATCCAAATCAAGGGCATCTCTCGTTCTGGCCAGGACCACCATAGAAGAAATTAACCCCCCAGGAAGTTCCACCATCTCCTGCCTTAATGTTGTAACAGTTATCATGACCAGTCAAGGGGGAAACTCCTTGAGGTTCTCTCAAAGTATTGGTTTCATCAATTGTCATAAGATTCCTGAAATAACTCGCTTTCTTATAACCTTCATCTGCAAAGTGCCCACTTCCCATGTCAGTAGCAGTGTGTCTCCCATCAGTCTCCGCGTTAACAATTTCGCCTCCCCATTGAACTAGCGTAGCTCCATTTCCTAGAGAATTGAATAACTGGCCAGGCCAGTACCCTACAAGCTCTTCACCGACCTGTAGCCACCAGTTCTCGCCGTCCTAGGTATTATCCACAAAACCATTTTGGGTTGGGATGCAGATATAATTTACATATATAGAGGACAACTCAAATATTTCCGATAATATTTTTAATAAATTGAGGAAAATAAATTATATAAGTTATTATTTAGTACCTTCCATATAAGTATCGAGAGCTCGTATTGATCTCCGTCGTATTGGGAAACGGTAGTGAAGGCTCCACCAACAGCGATAAGATTGCTCCTTTGAACGAAACCTGAGCAAGCGGTGTTGTAGCACCCTGTCCCTTGGTATCCATTAGCCTATTTACAGAAAGGAAAAAAAAGTTTTATTATGATTTTTATCAAAGAAAAAAAAGTTCCATTATGATCATGGTCTTTCCGGTCGCATATAAAAATTAAGAGACAATTTTTATCAATTAATTATTTTATATTTTTACATTTAGTAAATATTCTAAATTATATACTCTCAGACGGATTTTCTATAGCGTTTACACATATTAAAAGTATAATAGATATTTACATTTAAATATATTATTTTTATCGTAATTTTTTCAATAACTATCATTATATTTAGCTAATTTTAGTATTTTAAATAATACTGTTTAAAATTATACAACTTTTTAATATCAATTAATAAAATCACCTTAAAATCTAGAAGTAACAGGAATTTAACAGGATTTTTTTTAGATAATCTATTTTTCCGGAAAACGGAGGAGACTATAAACACCATATTATAAACCCTAGGCTCTACAAAACAAGCAGTCATGCATGTTTAAACTCTAATACTAGCTAGTGAGCCGTTTTAATTTTTTAATGATTAGACTGTTAACACGTTTAAGGTAGAAAATGGGAACTTACCGTCCAGTAAACAAATAATCTTAGGTTATCATCACCATACATCCCTGGAAAAACCTATACATGTAGGCAAACAAAGGTACATAATAATGTTAATTACGATGTTTTGCATATGAACAAGATATACATGGAGGACCAAATAAGTATAAGACCTGCAAACCAGCTTCAATTGTATTACGAGTAGCGCCAACTCCAGACACGAGCCACGTCTGAGCCAAGCTGAACTCGTTGGGAACTTGAACTTCTGGTTTTCCACATATTTATTGCAAGTTTTGTCCCGAAGTACGTTCCTTGCATGGAATTCATGACTGCATACTAAAGTAAACCAGCTCCAAAAAGTGTAAGTTAAGCCACAGACAGAGATTTGGGAGTAATTAACACAAGTACATTATATAAAAGGTTTACCTCATGGCCTCTACTTGGATCGTACGTATTATCTTCAGGGATGCTTGAGTAAGTCATCTTTTTCCCAAAACTCTCAACGGATTTTGATCGCAAAATATCTTCTTTCTTTATTCTTCTTATAGGAACTGTATTTTTAGGGCATCTTCCGTTCTTGTGCCAGGCTTGAGTAGCCTTTATCTTTTTCTTGGTGTATGTAGACGTACTTTCCGGTATAAAGCTCGGTCTCATCTACGTGCGAAAACTTAAGAGTTTCAATACATCACCATGCATGTTTATATAAAAAAAATAGACCGTAAATGAAGTTAAAACCTGGATGGTGTGGTTTTTGAGCAGAGGATGATCAAAAGCTGGTTGACTATGTATTGGAACACAATCTATTATATCTCCATCTTCGCTCTGTAATAAAGATTAAAGTGAAATATTCAATCTCAGTAATTAAAGTTTTCCACGAATAATAAAAGCATCGAGTTTTAAAAATATGTAAAATAACCTTAACGGAAACAAGAGCTTGCTTGTTGAGCCGCTTCAAAAGACTTTGTACTTTGATTTCCTGGTGATCGGAGAACTCTTTTCCGTACACACAAGGAGATATTATCACCCCTATCAGCATCAATGCTACCATGAAACCGGCCATTCCCATTTATTATGATCAATTATAATCCTTTAGAACTTACTCTTTAGTATTTTGAAAATTTTCAGTATGGGAATTTATAGGAGTAATTGCTCAACTATTTTACAAATTAGCAAATTAGATTAAAAACTAGTGGTTACGTTAATACCGTCAATGAAATTGACTAATGACTTAAACATCATCACAACCCCTCATGACTTACTAACTCGTGAATTAAACGTCATCAAAGCAAGCAAGTTTCTCTCGTTATACAAAGACTTAATTAGGATGACGTTGTTGATTCATTACATTTCATGTGCATCTATGGTCATAGACTCACAATGCCTCCATATATACATGTCAAGTCACATACTTTAATTATAGACCTGGTATGTTAATGAAAAGTATGGATTCTCACTTTATAGACCTTGTTGTTGGTTCTCACATATGGCTACTTTTACTTTAGCGAGCTATGTCAAGCAATGTTCAAATTAGAGTTTACATTCATAATTTATTGATATTAGATGACTTTGTTATGTTCATGTACAACCAAGTATAAATATTTACAAACTAACTAAATTATTATAATTGACTATTGTCTTGTTTTTATTTGTTGATATTTCAAAGTCGTTTTATATTATATGTTTGAAAAGTATGTGACTTGGCAAGTAAAATCAACGAAGACACTAACCCATGAAATCAACGAAGACACTGACCCATGAGTTCATCATATCATCTCTTGTGTGATGAAACGCGTAACATGACCAAGCAAATTGTTGTTTAACGCGGGAACTAATAAATGAGATGTGTTTTGAATTTTGTATTTGAAAGGAAAACGATATTCAAATCAATCGTAGCCAAGACTCAAAACAAATAACGGGAAAGATAAATTAGATCAGTATTACTGGTCAAAGAACAATTATCAAAAATCACAAATCCAACTTGGTCTACACGTTCTGTTTTCCTTTTAGTTTTGCCTGTACGCTAAGGATTAGATTCATGATGATGAATATGAAATATGAAAACAAGTCGAACCATGATAAACTTAAATGGTAGAAACACTTAGCTTAACATAAAATAAAACATATACAGAAACTATACAGCTTCAAATTAATAGGGAGAATTTCAGTTTACCATAAATTTGATATCACTTTCAAATTTACATTTAATCATTTTCATAAATACTTTAAATTTGTGGTAAAAATTGAATTAACTCTTCAAAATCCTTTATAAATGTTTAGAATAATTTACATTTAAATAATTTTATAAACCCAACATCACGCTTTAAATAATAAATCTAAACAATAATCACCAAAATCCTAAAATTAATGTTAAAATATTTTTGATTTGGGTATATTTTTTGAAAAAGTAGTCAACTTAGGATATTTTAAATAAGTTCCCTTAAATCTATACTATTATTTGCGAAGTGATTTTTCGCGACGGAGCTCCCACGTTAAAAGTTGGAGTGGTTAATATCGTTTATACCCTTAATAAAAATAATATATATATTACATATAAAATAAAAAACGAATTTAAATTATTTTAATCTAAAATTAATAATAATCATAAGAATTATCCAAAATCTAAATAATATCTTTTTAAATAAGATAATTCTGATATATATTGTGATGTTATCTGAAAATATATTTGATAAAAAAAGTTAACAATTAAAACAATTGAAAATACATAACTAAATATTAATCAAATCAACTTCTTAATTTTATATTACTGAAAAAATATTATTTGATCTTAAAATTATTTTTAATAGTGAACATAAATTACAAAGAAATATATGTAAGAATTGTTAAATGAAAGTATAAATATTATTGGTTTCAAAAAATTAAACACAATCAATCCTTAATATTATTTGATCTTAAAATTATTTTTAATAGTGAATATAAATTACAAAGAAATATATGTAAGAATTGTTAAATGAAAATATAAATATTATTGGTTCCAAAAAATAAAACACAATCAATACTTTATCACTATAATCTTTCAATTAGTAAACGATGTATTAATAAAAACGGATTTAAATTATTTTGATTATTTAAATAATTAAAATTAATAATAATCATAAAAACGATCCAAAATCTAAATAATATGTATTTAAATAAGATAATTCATATATATATATTGTGTTGTTATCTGAAGATATATTTTCCGAAAAATAGATATACATAATTAAATATTAATCAAGTAAACATCTTAATTTTATATAATTGAAAAGAAAAAGGTTATTTTTATTTTAAGATGATTTATTTTTAGTAGGGAACATAATGTACAAATAAATACATGTAAGAATGTTTAAATGAAGATATAAATATTATTGATTTCAAAAAAATAAAACATAAATAATACTTTATCATTATAATTTTCCGATTAGTAAAAAATATAATAAAATAATTATAAAATGTTTAGGCCCGCAAGTGCGGGCAAAACACCTAGTATAAAGATAAAACTAGAAACATCACTGATCATTAGATCATTGTAAATCGGATATCAGATTGAGGAGAATGGAAAATTGAAAGAATTTTAATATTAACCCTCAAAAGAATAGTTTTATTATGTTCTATCGCTTATATATTACATATTTTCTTAATTAGATAAATATAAATATATAATATTTTTAACAATAATTTCTAACAATATTGAGAATTGACTAGGTCATTACAGATAAGATTCTAAATCTTTCTATATCTCCTTTATAGATATATTGTATGTGTGGGGGACATGGCGAGAGGCGAGACGGTAAGAACGTAAATTGAGATGACCACAGAGTATAAAATCATCACATAGAGTTTTGAAATATTATCTAACGTGATCATACCAGGTAGACAAAAGACAAAGATAATAATAGATTCACACAACAAAACATTAACACAAAAAGATTACCAAAAAAAAAGACATTAACACAAAAAAAAAGTAAAAAGCAGAGGAGATTCAATTTTCGTCATCTAACCAGTTCGAGAAGCTTTTTACACACATATTATTAAAGAACACATAATATTAACTTCAACAACGTGGATTTCTTTTTCATACTCGCACTCTCATATTCAAATGCAAACAAATACGTAAAATACTCAAAAAAACGTTGAGCACAAAGATTCAAATCAAGGGCAGTTAGCGTTCAGGCCAGGACCACCATAGAAGAAATTAAACCCCCAGGAAGTTCCATTACGTCCTACCTTACTGCTGTAACAGTTATCATTGGTAGTTGTGGGAAAAACTCCTTGTGGTTCTCTCAGAGTATTGGTTTTATCAACTGTCATAAGATTCCTGAAATAGCTGGCTTTTCTATAACCTTCATTTGCAAAATGTCCACTTCCCATGTCGGTGCTCGTGTGTTTCCCACCGGTCTTCTCGTTAACGATCTCACCTCCCCATTGAACTTCCGTAGCTCCCTTTCCTAGAGAAGTGAATAACTTAGCAGGCCAGTAGCCGACAATCTCTTTGTTAATCTGTAGCCACCAGTAATCGCCGTCCTAAAATAATTCATCATATCACTTTGTCAATAAAATAAGAAAAATAAATTATATATGTTAGTACTACTTAGTACCTTCCATATCATTATGATGACCGCGATTTGAATACCGTCGTATTTTGAGACGCTTTTGAAGGTTCCACCTACAGTGATACGATTACTAGTTTGAACGAAACCTGGGCAGTTGGTGTTGTAGCACCCTGTCTTTTGATAATCATCGGCCTATTTACAACAACAACCAAAAAACATTAGGATTATAGTCTTAAACATATTCCCGTCCGCATGAAAACTAAGATACACTTTTAGTAATAGATTGACTTGTGAAATTTTGTTCAAATCATCCTTGTAATCGAATCTTGTATCCCCATTTTGGGTTGTTTCAAATTAATATATCCATTAAAAAAATAAAAAATAAAAAAATAAGATACACTTTTATATCATTTTCTGTTCTTTTTTCATTTAACAAAATAGTCTATTTTAAATTTTATAAACAGTCTAAACCAAGATTATAAACCCTAAATAGTTTTTTATTTTGAGTTTGTTCAACAATAAATTCTCATATTGTAATATGAAATAAATAATTAAATTTTAATTTAAAGAAAAAAACACCCTTTTAATGATAAGTAATCATAAGGTTCTAATGGATTCTTTTTTTTTTTTTTTTATGACATCAACCTACGCACTCCTAATGGATTCTTTCTTCTTTTGGAGAAATATTCATCTAACATCTGTCTTTATTTTTTTGGTTTTCTATTAAAACAAAAACTACTATCTAAGAGCATCATTATTGCAGGTTTCTTAAGGCGGATTTCTTCGGGAAATATAAGAAACTATTTCTTATATTTCCCGAAGAAACCCGCCTTAAGAATCCTGCAATAATGATGTTCTAATCTACCAAATCTCTCCATTGGGGATGTTTTAAGCTCTACAAAATAACAATCAAGTTAAAAAAAAAACTCTATTACTAGCTAGTGAGCCGTTTAAAATTTTATATGATTAGCTTTTTAACATGTTCAGGGTAGAAAATGGGGACTTACCGTCCAGTAAACAAATAATCTTAGATTGTTATCACCATATATTTCTGGATAAACCTATAAAATTAGGCAAACAAAGGTAGTGCTAATTAAGATGTTTGCATATGAACAAGATGTTGTTAATTAGGATGCAGGACCAGAGAAGTACAAGACCTGAAAACCAGCTTCAATTGTGTTAAGATTAGTGCCAACTCCAGACGAGAGCCAAGTCTGAGCCAAGCTGAACTCGTTGGAAACTTGAACTTTTGGTTTCCAGATATTCGCTGCAAATTGTGTCCCGAAATACTTTCCTTTCTTGCAATTCATGACCGCGTACTAAACAAGCTCCAAAAAAAAAAGATAAGAGTTTAAATTAAGCCACAAGAGAAACTAGAGAATGTGTAACACGAGGACAATATAAATAAAAGGTGTACCTCATGAACACTACTTGAGCCATATAAAAGGATGCCTGGAGTCATCTTTTTCCCAAAATTCTCAATTGATTTTGATCGTAAGATATCTTCTTTCTTTATTCTTCTTATCGAAACTGTATTTTCTGGGCATATTCCATTCTCGTGCCACGCCTGAGTAACGTTTCTATAATTCATGGTGTACGTTGACGTACCTTTCGGTATAAAGCTCGGTCTCATCTATGTGCAAGAAAATTGACGTTTCAACATCATCATGCATGTATATATATCGAAAGATAGATTGTAAATGAAGTCAAACCTGGATGTTGTGGTTTTTAAGTAGAGGATGATCAAAAGCTAGTTGACTATGTATTGGAACACAATCTATTATATCTCCATCATCGCTCTGTAAAAGAGATTAAAGTGAAACATTCAATCTCAGTTGCATGCATATAATCAAGAAGCATAGAGTTTATGAATATGTAATTTGTATAGGATAACCTTAATGGATATTAGAGCATGCTTGTTGAGCCGCTTCAAAAGTTTTTCTACTTCGATTTCCTTGCGATCAGAGAACTCTTTTCCATAGACACAAGAAGACATTATGATCACCCCTATCATTATTATCATCAGTGCTACCATCAAACCGGACATTCTCATTATCGTTAATTGTGATCCTTAGAAACTAATCTTTAGTAGTTTTAAAAAATTTCTATCAACAACAGGTGGAATTTATAGGAGTAGATTGCTCATATATTCTATAAATTAGTAAATTAGGAGAAAACAGAGTAGTGGTCACATTAACACTAATGAAAGTTGACTTATGACTTCAATATCATCACAACCCCTCATGATCTAAACATCATCAAAGCAACCACGTTTCTCTAGTTATACAAATTTGTTAATTTGTACTTCCATGTGTCATAGACTCATAATGCATCCATATAAATATATATATATATATATATATATATATATTTGTATGTTTAAATTTTCATAAAATTTTGTAAATTTGATGTATATTGTTTTCAGAAATGACAAAAATAAGCTAAAATGTTATTTGATTCGGAGTTACATAAATTACAATAATAATTTAAAGCCTGCACATATATTAATTTTAAAGAAAACTCTAATATAATAGTTTAAAAAAAAATTGAATCATTCTATAATTCTTATGCATAAAATAAAATATTCTTTTTTGATAACAATAATATTAATTTGGTTACATTACAATTAACATTGTTAATGAAGATTGACTCATGAATTTAACATCATCACAGCACCTCATGGTCTAAACATCATCAAAGCAAGTAAACAACCACGTTTCTCTAGTTATACAAAAGTTGTTAATTTCTAATTCTATGTGCATATATGGTCATAGACTCATATAATGCATCCATATATAAATATGTATGTATAGATTTTATATTTTTAATAAACGAAAACTGTTTGTATAATTTATGTATGCAAAGTATGCCACCTATAAATTACCAAGTAAAATCAGTGAAGATATTGATCGATGAGTTACTTGTGTGATGAAACTTGGCCAAGAAAATTGTTGTCAGAGGCAGACTAATAAATGATATGTATATGCACACTCGATGATTTTTGTTCATAACAAGTATTTATATATATAAGTAATTCTAATTTATCAATATTTTATTTTTGTATTTTTGGAAAGCTAAAAATGAGCAAGATCAAAAATAAACCAAAAGTGAAATCTAGAAATTAAAAACCAGAACCAAAATCTGAAACAACAGAAGGGATTCAATACAAAACCAGTAAAAATGGTCAAATTAGATGAGCAAAGAGTACAAAATCATATTACATAGAGTTCAAACAACTGTCTTACGAAATATTCTCTAGCGTGATCATACCAAGTAGACATAAACAGAAATAATAACAGATTTCACAAAACCAAACATTAAAAGGAAAAAATAAACAACAGCAGAAGAGATTCAATCTTCATCACCTAACCAGTTCCTCTTCAGCTTCGGACCCGTAGGTCCATCCTCTCCAAAAACCTCATTAGGCAATCCATTAATAGCACTCCTGAACATATTCTTCAGACTCTCTCCAACAACAATCTTCTCCACACCTCTAATCTCATCTTCACGACCATAATCAATCTTTGGTCCCCAATGTCTCATATAATTCAACCACGCAGGCTCCTCCACTTCTTTCAAATACTCAGCCGAAACAACCCTAAACCTAACCGCAGTATCAAACACCTTTTCACTCTTCCCTGTATCGTTCCTAATCCCTACATCGTCTTTGCCTTGCAACACAAGTCCTGGTTTAGCATACATTGCGTGTCCGTTTAAAGAAGCGTAAGCCACCGGTTTGTTACCTCCACTTTGAAACTCAATCTCAGGAGCATCGATCCAGCTTCCTCTGCTATGTTGTGATAAGTACATCCTTTGTAACTTGCCGCTGAAGTTACTTATCCGGAGAGTGAAATGTTCCCAATCTCCAATGTGTTCGCCTATTCTCCCCAAGGGGATTGTGACTAGCTTGAGCTTGGCTCGTGAAGGGCCATTGAAAGGGTAAAACATCCAGACAGCTATATCTGTTGATGTTCCACCAAAGACAGGTTTTATGTGAAGATACACTTCCATGCTCTGTAAATCTCCGCCTTGGATTCGTTTTCTTGCGTCAGAAGCAACTGGTAGGTCTAACCAGTAAAGACCGTCGTTGGCTTCTCCTTGAGGAAGATTTGAGCCGTTTGGTTCGACCGGAACCGGGTTTGACTCATCTCCTTTCTTGTAAAGCAAGGCACCGTTGCTGAAAAACCAGTTGACAGAAGATGGGAGATACTTCTCATCTTTGTGGAAATAGATCAAAGGAGCATAAGCTTGAAACAGAGCATCTATCTGGACCTTGCTTGGCATGCAAGAAAAGTCGAACTTGTTGTTTTTCAAACAAGCTAGGGTTGGATTTGCAGTGAACGTACCAACACAAACACTAGAGGCTTGTGGTCCTCTGTGAACAGGCTTAGAACTCGAAACCCTAAACCCATTAGATTCCCATATCAAAGCGTCTGGCTCGGATTGATCCGTTAGGTCAGAACGAACACAACGGATCTTTTCAAGAGGAGGTTTCTCAGCCGTGGTGGTCACGATTAGACCCACTGGAACGTAACCATCAGGAGGTACAGGCTGCCAAAAGTATCCAGTTTGGTCTCTATTGTTCTCTACCTTTGTAGATTTGCCGCTCCAGAGAAAAAGATAATCTACTGGAGGTCTTAAAGAGTCGCCGGAGATGTCTTTTCCGACAAGTGTCCATCCAAAAAGCTTGCGGTTGTTTGGTTGAGCGTAGAAACCGAGAAGGGAGAAGCCTTCAGGTAGTGAAGACGGCTCAAAGAAAGTGGCTCCAAGATTGTCTTGTCCTCCTTCGTGTACAGTCCATACTTTGTTAAACTTTGTTACTTGGAAAACTTCAAGACCTCCCAAGTCTATTATCCCCTTTGCAAATCCTTCTCCTGTATATTTACATTAAAATCTTATAAAACATTCGAAAATACATGTACAATTTTAATGTTGTTTCATATTAAAGCTATGTTTTGTTCTGTATTTTGTGAATGTTTTAGCTCTTTTTCACACAAAAAAAAAACATTCTAAAACCAAGTGTTGGTTGAAGTGGTAAATGGGTTCCAGCTGAAACTACCATCACCCAGTTCGATCCGGTAGTCGGAGAGACTATTTACAATATTTGAATTTCCGGTAAAAAGATAAAACTACATTTTTCACAAAAAAAAAACCTTCGAAAAATACATAGACAAAACATAGCTAATAGAGGATGAACATTAAAAATGAAACCTGAAGGCCAAGATGGCAATGGAGATGGTAGATCGAAGGTGGAATCAATCGGCAAAGATGGTGATGAACTTTGAGTAGAGGAATTGTTACCCATTTTGATATTCACAGATTAATCCAAAAAATCGTAGAGAAATAATGACTTTGTAAGCTATGATGTGTCGTGGTATAGACAGACTTGAAGGGAAGTGGGGACAGAATCAATGTTGTTGGTCGAGTTAGATCAACCACATAAACAAAAACTTCAAAGATTAGGTCTTATCGTGAAAGAAACAGCACATGTCATGTATTAATTTTGAAACGAAAAGTCATCGCAAATCACTGTTAGCTTCTGTAGCCTTTGATTTGATCATCATGGTTTCCAACATACTTGATCAAAGTTTCGCACGTCTTAACTATAATACTATTTTTTTGTTATTCTTGAGATTTTGTTTTTTTTTTTGTTTTTTTTTGTTTTGTTTTTGGTTCTCTTGAGAACTCCTTCCCTTGTTGAGAGTGTTAACATCATGACAAAATACTGTGTATACATATAATAAAAAATTATATGTACATACAAATGTTAGGGTTTCTTAGAAATCATTTTAGTATTGTTTATAACGTATTATTGCGTTGTATTTCATCGGCTTAGTGATACTATTAATTAGTCAGTTTAGTTATAAAGAACAAAACAGTGAGACCAGTGATTCTTCAACAGGTCAGAGAATAACGTACATGGTTTAATATAAACGTATATAACTTTATTAAAACGTGCATTTTATAACATTTTCTTGAATTTCATCTAAACAGCTGTGTTGCTAACTTTCAATAAATGCGTCTTCATTCTGCTCGTATTATTTCAAAGCTGTAACCAGATTGATATCAATTGATAGATGGGATCATCTCTCATGACGTGGAAGGTTTTCTTCAAAAACTTATTTTATCTTTATTATAAGCACACTCACATATACACACACACACACGAGCAAATTAACATATCTTATTTTAAATATATAGATATGTGAAATCCCCAAAAGCTTTTGAACACATATAATTCAAGGACACTTAACGTTACGACCCGGACCACCATAGAAGAAACTAATCCCCGAAGAAGTTCCAAGATTTCCTGTCTTCACATTGTAACAGTTATGTTTATCAGCAAAGTAGTAAAGATTCTTTGGTTCTCTCAGAGTATTAGTTCCATCAACTATCTGGACATTCCTGACATAGCTCGCTTTCTTAAAACCTCCATCTGCAAAATGCCCACTTCCCATATCCGTGGTCGTGTGTTTCCCACCAGTCTCCAAGTTTACGATTTCACCTCCCCATTCAACTCTTGTAGCTCCATCTCCTAGTGAAGTGAACAACGAGCCAGGCCAGTAACCGATGATGTCTTTGCCAAGGCTTAGCCACCAGTTTCCGGTTTTTCGGTCCTAATGATTACAATAACCATTTTAGGTTAGCTAGTGAGGTAACTTGGTCAAAATAATATCTTGCGATTCAAGTTACCTTGAATATAAGTATGGATATTTCGTACTGAGTTCCACCGTAGCGTGACACGATGTTGTAAGCTCCACCTACTGAAATTCGATTGCTTGTCTGAACAAAACCGGAGCAGAGAAGATTGTAGCACCCTGTTGTTCTATACCCATCACGCTATTTTATAAAAAAAAATGATTTCACAATGATTAGAGTCTACTACGATTATAGATAGGAAAAATGATTAATAACTACACCAACAATAAATCACCACATGACCACACATATGGATAAAATAATGTATATTACAAACTAAACAAACTACATGAATCGCATGACAACATCTTATGACTACTAAATGTTATTTCGATAGCCATAAAAGTATATTGGATTTGTAATCGGGTAATTTCTTCTTTTTTTTTAATCGGGTAAATTTGATGATCCTAACATATATGTTTAACAAGTTATGTCATGTTCTTTAATGTATAACATTGCATTTTGATTATTTGATCTATGTGTGTTGATTTTCTTATGATCATTCAAATGTGATATGATTCGTTTCTAAAAGAAACTTTTATTTGGTGATACTTTCTAAATCCGATAAAAAAATTCAATATCAAAATTATATTTGTGGTGTTAACAACATAACACATATAATTCAGGAATGTTGTCATGTAATTTTTAATATATTATTTTTTCTCCTGATGTGAGATTATATTGGTGCATTCGTGTAGATACAATCATTTTTCCTTATATATATGAATATGTTTGCAAAAAAATAAAAACAACAATATACGGGATAAGTCTTGGTATTGTTATAATAAACACTACTTATCAGAACCTTAAATTGATTAACGTTTAATTATACGGGATAAGTAGGCATAAATCATTCGGAAAAGATAACTTACCGTCCAGTAAACAAAGAATCTAGGATTGTTATCATCATATAGTTCTGGATAAACCTACAAATTAAGCCGAACAAATATATAACAAGTTACATGATTTGCATAAGAATAAAGAAGAGGTCGTGGAGAAGGGACCAAACCTGCCAACCAGCTTCAATGGTGTTAAGACTAGAGCCGGATCCGGACACAATCCACGTCTGAGCCAAGCTAAACTCGTCAGGAACTTGGACATATGGTTTCCATAGATTTATTATAACTTCTGTCCCATAAAACGTTTCGTTCCTCGCAGTCATTATTGCGTACTAAATCCATCTCCAACAAAATTTAATGAATAGTGTAAGTTACAAGACAGTAACAATGTTAGCACATAGATGTGTGCACATACCTGATGACCTTTTGTTGGGTCAAAGGTTGTAGTTCTTGGGATACTATGATGAGGTTTTCTCCCAAATCTCTTCATGGATTTAGGTCTTAAGAGATCTTCTTTCTTTGTTCTTCTGATGGGAACAGTGTTAGCAGGACACTCTCCCGCCTTGTTCCAAATCTGGGCTATAATATTTGCCTCTTTCTTGGTGAACGTAGAATCACTTTCAGGGCTGAAACTCGGTCTCATCTACGGGCATAAACTTTGTATTGCAAATTATTCAAAAATATTGTGTTTAACAATATAAAGACTGAAAATGAAATCAAACCTGGATGGTATGGTGTTTAAGTAAAGGATGATCAAAAGCTGGTTGGTTGGTTATAGGAACACAATCTATTACATCTCCATCTTCACTCTGTAAGGAAAATTTAGATTAGAGCCAAGACACCAACACGCGTTTAGTTTAAATACAAGAGTTCGGTGCACACAAAAAAAAAAGATTAGAGCCAAGAATAATTCATCTTTATAAGTTTCTTTCATGAAATTTGTATAAGTTACCATAATGGATTTGACAGCAGGCTTGTTGAGTCTCTTCAAATGATTGCGTATTTTAACTTCCTGGTGATGGGAGAACTCATGTCCATCAACTCGAATAGCTATTGTCGCCACTATCACTATCAGAGCCAGAGCTACCGTGAAACCAGCCATTCTCATCATGGTTGTATATACAGTTCTTAGTGAAACTTTTAGCAACAACTCATTGGCTTTTTATAGGAGGAGATTGCTTCTATTTCGTAATTGTTATTCTTTTCTTAGCCGAACCTTGTCAACTCTAACCAAATTTTATATATTGTTGTGTTGGTAGTATCAACTCGAACTATATTATTACCCCAAATTTTTGGTTGTAAAAATTATTATGTTACCGCTTATATCATGTCTACAAAAACGTGGAATGAACTTTTTCTAATTCAGTCTCATGCGTTTTTACTAGACACATTGTTTCGTAAATCTCAGGTTCGGATCTTGGCTAAATAGCCCTTGCACGTATATACATTCATAGCTTTTAATTAAGCCAGATCATTTTTACGAAGTATAAAATGACATTTGACCAAACGATGGTAATTACTCTAAATAAACATGTAACCTACTCTTTGACGTTATATGTATAAATTTATTTATCATTTTTTTCTTCTTATGAAGTAAAATATTATGTTTGAACAAAAAATAAAGTTTATCATTTGTTAGTCTGTCATGAACCATTCCGCGTGAGGTCACGAGCTTTTACATCAGTTCACTATAATTAAATCGATACCTTCATCTATGAAATGATTTGTACATTCTTTTGAACTTTTCCTTTGGCACCATTGAATATTGTGTTAAAAAATTATAATTCTCTTACTATGTTGAATTGTTATATACTTTCCCACTGCGAACTCGTCAATGCAATCCACCAAGTCAGCTCTCTTGTGGTTTCTAGGCCCACATTTGAGTTGACTTTATCAGAGGCTATCACAGTTCACAAGATAGATCTGTAATCTGCATAGAAAATGATAAGCTATAGTATAAAATTTGGTATCTATCAAGAAGTCATGACTAAAACATAATTACGAGACAATTGAAAAACCGCCGCCCAAACATGATTTTGAACACCTCCAATGAAAAGTTCTTACGGCGGGATTTTTTTATCATAATATAAAAACTCATCTTTTAATTTTTAATTTTTAATTGATTATTCTGTTAAAAACTCTGCCATAAGAAATTTTCATTAGAGATGGTTTTAGTTTAGAATAAAATTTTACCAAACCCCACCAACTTAACAAAACGAGTGTTATCATTATCATATACTACTCCCTCCTCTGTTTTAGGAATTTTTTTTTGTTTCATTTGAATTGATGTTTACAAGTTTTGATGTAAAAAGTAAATGTAATTTGATATTTATGACAATTTGTATTTAGAGTATAATTTTATATTGGTTGAATTACTATAATTATTGTTGTTTTAGGCAAACGAAAAGAAACTGAATAAAAATTTGTAATTCTTTTTGGGGTGCAAAAACCTTAAAACCCGATTATTTTAGTAGGAGAGAGTAATACATTTATTTAGTATACTAGATTAATTAATGCATTTTGACCAATAATTCTAAATGAAATTGTTACCTGGCTGATTTAATGGGGAGATCCAAAAACCTCATCTCTATGTTTGTTATGCATAAACAAAGCAATTATCGATTCATGATCATAAAGATTTCAGTATACACATGGGACCATGTTCTTAGAAGAAATTTATATCTTCTCTTCACTCCTTAGAAACAGAGAAACACTCCAAAACAGACCATATACAAACCTAAACCACTCTAGCAATCTGAAACCAAATATACTTAAGAATGTGTTTTTTCTTTGGAACACACTTACGAATGTGTATATATTTTATACAAATTAATGATTAATTTAGAATGATGTGCAATGCAAGTAGATAGATCATCAAGGGCAATTAGGGTTTCGACCAGGACCACCATAGTAGAAATGACTTCCCCAAGAACCTCCATCACCACTCTTCACATTGTAACAGTTCTCTTGATCAGTAAACACTTGAAGATTCTCAGGGTTTCTCAACTTATTCGATCCATCAACTACTTGAACGTTCTTGAAGTAACTCGCTTTCCCCCAACCTTCCTCTGCGAACCTACCACTTCCCATTTGAGTGGTAGTGTGTTGTCCTGCCTCAGACTGTGAGTTCACCACTTCACCTCCCCATTCAATCATCGATGCACTTTCTGATAAGTATGAGAATAGTGAAGCTGGCCAGTATCCGATTATGTACTTTTCTCCAAATTGTAACCACCAATGTCCTTCTTTTGGGTCCTGATAAAAAAAAAAAAACCTAAACTCCCCAAACCAAAGCTAAACTAAACAAACAGAACAAAACAAAAAAAACATGTACTTGTTAGGCTACATAATATTAGGTTTAGTTATACAAAATTATATATTATATAGTATTGACTAGGTTATTCTTTGTTCTATTTACAAAAGCATACGATTATTGTTGTTGGTTTACCTTCCAGATAAGTATGGTAATGTCATATTGAGAGTTTCCATAGCTAGATAAAGGAGAGATTGATCCACCCATTGCAATCTCCCTATTGATTTGAACAAATCCTGAGCACAGAAGATTATAGCAGCCTGTGCCTTGGTAGGCATCACTCTGTTTTTTTTTTCACAGGGGAGACAAAAAATGATACTTAAATATACTAAAAGACACATAGAAATAAACTAAAACACATAAAGAGATATAAACTTACAGTCCAATAAGTGAAGAGTCTTGTGTGGTTATCACCATACAATTGTGGACTCACCTGAAAACACAAATCTTTTAAATCAGAAACACAAAATCTAACTTCTATTACAAGAAACCAAAAAGGCTTACCTGCCAGCCAGCTTCAATACTATTAAGATCAGAGTTGAAATTTCCACCCAAAACCCAAATCTGAGCCAAGCTAAACTCATTAGGCATCTCAACATCTGGATTCCATACATTAATCTTCGCTTTAGCACCGTAGAAAACACCATCTTCGACATACATTATCGCATGCTACATCAAATCCAAAAAGAGTTAGAAAAAGTTGTTAAAAGACTCAAAGAAGTAATGACAAGAAAACATTACCTGATGACCATTTTGTGGAAGGACACTAGTTGTGTCATAAGATTTGAGCTTAGGTAGACTTTTCTGACTCTTCATACCGAAACTCTCTACCGAACTCGCTCTGTAAAGATCTTGCTTTGTCGTTCTTCTGATGGGGATTGTGTTCACTGGGCATTTACCATTCACATGCCAAAGCTGAGTTATATCATTAGAGTGATGATTCTTGGTTCTTGATGAAGCTTTACTCTCGCTAAAGACACTCTCTGGGTTGAAACTTGGATTCATCTATAAAAAAACATTAACAATGTCAGAAACACTCAAGAACAAGAATCATATATAGAGAGACAAAACTAAAGAAAGAAGAGTGACAAAACCTGGACAGTGTGATTAACGAGCAGAGGATGAGCTAAAGCTGGTTGGTCGGTGATTGGGACACAATCTATTATATCACCATCTGGGCTCTGTTCCAAACCAGAAATGATTTGAGTAAAAACAGCTAAAAAAGGAAACTTTGTATGAAATTATTTACCTTTATGGATTTGAGAGGTGGCTTGTTGAGTCGTTTCAAGTGGGTACGGATTTTAAGATCGGAGAACCCATTTTTGCCGGAGACGGATGAAGAAGAGAGAGTCATCACCACCGCCGTCATTAACAGAGAAAGCAAGAAGCTAACCCTTTTGAAATTAGCAGCCATGGTTGAAGAAACTCAAGAAAAGGTTTAAGCTTTTTATTACAGAAAGAAAGGGTAGAAGAAGAAGAGAAGATGAGAGCTTCTTTGGATTGTGAGTTTAGTTCTTCTTAGCACTAATAAACACTTTGGCAGACCAAAAAACACTTCAATAAAAGGACGATTCTTTTGAAATAAAGACAAGTGTAAAATTTGGATTCTATTGCGTAAGATTGATTGGTTGCTTTCTTCTCCGTCTCTCAGTTAAATTTGTTTTTGTCAGAATCTTTTTGTGGAATAATTCGAAGGTTAGATTTTTTTTTTTTTTGAAAATTATGTATATTAGTATCTTGTTTTACTGTCAGCTTTATAGAAAACATAACTTTTTACTGAAGTGGAACATTCCACTCTTTTGACTCATTAATGTGTATTGGGATTTCAACATTTTCTTTTGAACAAATTCTTATAAATCTATTTCTTTAGGACTCTTTTTTATGTTGAACAAAAAAAAAAGGACCCTTTATTTTATAGTAGTGACAAGAAAAAAAGTTGGATTAGTAAATCAAAACTAAATAGATAACATAAAGATCATATCATTGGAAGGCAAGTCTCTACATTGTTCCTTTTGTTTTTTTTTTCATTGCCTAATGACGATGTCTATTAAGATTAACCAAAAAAGCAAATTATTAGCATCTAAGAATGATAATTACTAACTTTACATATATGTTTTCTATTATTATATTAAATCTGTATCTGCATAATTGAATGAACTCGTTATTCCTCATTTTTAGTCCACAACCTTATATTTACACTTTTGCAGTACTAATTTAAACCTTAAAGCTACAGTAAAACAGTATTAGCAACAACAACACAAACATATATCATTAATCATCCACAATATTTTAAATTAAAGAGTCAACTATTCCAGCAGTGTTCCACTATATATGTTCCAATTATATATGTTGGTGAAGATTGGAAAGAAAGGGCGGTGGTGATTGGGTGGGGGTAAGAGCACCCGCAATGTGAAAAAACAGTGTAAAGTCAAAAAAGAAAGAAGTCACTAAATCACTTAAGTTAATATTATTAGTAGGGAGACAAAATGACAATGGATGGTTTCAAATCCTAATCTCAAGCTCCACACATTTCCTTTTCCATTCAGTTACATCTTCATTTCTCACTTTTGTATTTCTCTTCTTTTTCTTTAAAGCCGACTCATGTCTTATGCCATTAAATTCTTATTGGCCAAAACACTTGTTTGTCCGTTTTGCATGTAAATTCATACAATTTTTCTGTGTATAAATTTCTCATCAGAAATATTCATCAAGTTTCTCAAAATATTAAGATTTTATGTGCACCACTACAGTAGATATTTCAGGAATCATGATTCTACAAATTAAGCAACACGTGAAAGTTGAAACCTTCTTTCAATCTTGTATCCCCAAATGACCTATAGTCTTATGAGAGAAGAAAGAGTAGTGGAGGTTAAAATCTCACACGGCAAACATGCTTCCATAACAACCCAACTTACTTTTGTTCTTTTCAAATTTCATCAGTTGTTTGTTTTCTTACCATCCACAATTCCAAAACATGTGAGCTTCTCTGATCTTACAACACCCCAAGGACCTTAGTGTCAAATTTCAGATTTAATTATATAATCTCTGGACAAAAACCTCTTCATCTTCCATAAAGGTGCCAAAGTTGAATCTTGGATTATTATGCTTAACTAGATGTCACGGGCTCACGGGTATGGATCAACTCCTACCACATTTCAACATCCCACTAGATATTATTATTACATACCAATAAAGTGGACTGGACCACCCCATATCAGGCTAAGTTATGGGCCTTGAGACTATTACATATGGAAAGATACTAAAAATTGCTCAACATATCCAACTGGAATCAGACAGCATACAAAACGAAACTGTTTTTCAAACATATAATTTGTTACATTCCAAAGACACAAACCTTGTTCCAATTGTATTTGAATGATATTTGCATCTATCATTCAGCGGCGGAAGGCATTGCCTTCAGCTTCAGTTCCACGCTGTGAATAATAGCTTCTGCGACGCACACTTTCTTCAATAGTCGAGCTTCCACCTTTCTCAATTCCATACACACTTTTATTAGCGTCGTCCAAAAAGCTTTTCCCCAAAGAGTTTTTGTTCTTACTAGCTTCCACCGCATCAGTTTCATCAGCTTTCTTCAACCTTCTCCATCTTTGCTCCTCATGCACCTCTGCGTCCATTTGCATTTGCTTGAATCTAGCAGCTCTCTCTTCCTCTGATAGTTTAGCGCCACCTTTCCGGCGTCTATTCTGGAATCCATTCTCCTCCCTAGAGGGTTGTTTGACATTGTCTAAATCCTCTGTTTTCTTTTTTCTGTCCTCTTCACCAGAACTCTTGAGATTTTCCCTTTCCAAACGGCTGCGGTCAGGGGAGCGATTCCTATACTTCTCACTGTGTCGATCTCGATCTTCTCTACGACTTTCTCTTCTCTTTGATTCATCATCCATATCTGACCTTCGCTTATCTTGACTATCTCTTCTTTTGGACCCGTCATCCAACTCTGACCTCCGTCTCTCATAGTGCTTATCATGACTTTCTCTTCTTTTGGGCTCATCCTCTAAGTCAGACCTTCGTCTCTCAGAGTGCTTATCACGACTTTCCCTCTCGTAGTGCTTGTCATGATCCCCTGATGCTCTGTGATGACGCGATTTTCTTACATTCTCTTCACCAGAATCTTCCTCCGAATCAGAATGGTGTTTGGACTTACGATGCTTACGCTTTTTCTTGCGCTCCTTTGCGTCTCCATCTTTACCCTTTCCCTTTTCCTCCACCTATTAACAAGAACGTTCTCCAACAGGTCAGTAGCTAAAGAAAGCAAAACAGGCAAAAAAAACATGAACAATATCCAATACAATTTCATAAACATAAAGCTTACAGATTTTCGAATAAGAGCCATCTTCACAGGGTTGTTCTTGATTCTCGCAAGAGCTTCTTGCTCACGCTGCCTGATGAGAAGCAAAGGGTCAGTGTGAAGCTTCCTCCAAGAATCATTAGCAGAGGGAGTCTTATCCTCAAACAACGCACCAGGAGCCGAAGCATCTGGCTTCTCACTTGCATTATTAACAGCTTCAGCAGCATTGGCTAAAGGCTGCTCTTCTTTCTGAAACGACACACCTGAACCACTAGCACTCCCTTTCCCTACAGCTAATCCTGAATCATACAGAAACTCCAATCTCTCTTGTCTCCTGTAAGAAAATACAAAAATAAGTAAAAATACGATTTTTAGAATGACCCACAACTTCATATCACCAATTCTATCACAATCATTAAACGAATCAATAAAAACCATAAGATACAATTTATAAACCCTAACCCTAATTCCGAAATTAGATCAAACCCAAATCGATTTGGATCACGATTCTATCACAATTAAACGAATAATCAACCAAATCCTAAGATACAATCTCTAATCCCTAACCCTAATTTCGAAACTAGATCCTAACCCTAAGAAGAATAAACTTACGGGATGAGACCGGCTTGTTCCTGAAGAGAGCGAAACTCAGAACGCTCTCTCTCCTGGACGATCTGGAGACGAAGCTCCTCAAGCTTTTTCTGCTCGGCCTCTTGTTTCTGCTCAGCTTTCCACACGTTCTCGATGTTACGGAGACTCCCCGTATGCCATCCCTTCTTGTTCAAAAATTTCATCCCCATGATTGCTTCTCTTTGTCTTCTCCTTCTATCGCTTCAGAAGATTGTTGTTTGCTTTCTCTTTCGTTTCAAATCGAAATCTCGCCGGTGGTTGTAATGATCTGTTCCGCCTCCGCCGAGTCAATAATGTAGAATGTGAGATTATATCACAGCCGTTGGTTTTAATACGCGTTGATGATAGCCTCATCTTAGTTAATGGGCCTGTTGTGGGCCTTCTGAGAGACACACAATTAATTAATTGATTCCGGTTAGCTTGGTTAAGTCCAATACTCATTTCTTGTATATAATTTATTGGTTCCGGTTAGCTTAGTTAAAGTCCATACGCACAGCTACTCTAGAATCACTGCTTCTACAGAATTAATCAATTGGATCCGGTTTAGCTTGGTTAAGAGCAGTTCAATTACTAAGCTCGAAGGGATGTTGATCTCGAAGGCACTTAATCGTGGCAAAAGAAGGCGTCGCAATATTCATTTTCTCTTTCTTTATTTTAGTGGCTGTTACAATATATTGGTCAGAACATATAAGCTTCAAGTCAAAACAAAACTATTGCTCTATTGAAGTTCACTCTTCTGGCGCTGTTGCTGAATAAGTTGACTCCTGAGAAAACACTCTTCAATCTGCATAAGAAGAAGACACATATTAGACTTCAAAAACTGATAAGAACAAAAGGTTATGATAGATTCTATGTTCAGATTTATACATGTGCTGAATGGGTCTTAAGCAGTGCAACTCCACAATCTTGTACTGATGCCTTCTCTATGCTGCTTACTCTTGCTAGTTCAGACATCAAAGTCTCCATCTCTTGTGTCTGCAAAGTGCATCAAACATGTTATTTCAGATTCAGATTTATTCATGTTTATGTTTTGTGGTGAAGTAGACATAGGTAACTAGTTTGCTAACCTTAGGCAAAAACTGTTGGATGTTTTGCACAATGGTTTCCATAGACTTTGAAGCGACAGCAAGTACTTCTGCTAACTCTTTACTCTCAACCTGTTTTGAGAAGCAAAAGTTCAAGTGTTTTAGTGAAAGTTATGAAAAAAAGGAGCAAGTTTATTCATAGTTGATCTGAACTATATATACCTTGATATCAGAGTCGAGAGGTAGCCGCAAGGAAGCATTGCGTAAAGCATCAGATGTTTCAGTAAGTGAAGTTGAGTACTCATCTTCAAGTTCTGTCCATTGTTCCAAATAAGGAATCTGCATAGAGATCAAAGAGATTAGTCAACAATTCTCAATGAGTAAAAAAATGACTGTCTAACAATCAAACTTACTTGAGATTCCACAATCTCCTTAACAGCTTTCACTCTCAACAATCTCTGCAGTTCTATGCGTTTCTCATGTACAGAGTCGGAAAGCTCTGACATTTTCAAACCAAGGGAGTAAAACATCCTCTGCAAGAAAAAAATCTCATCGTCAAAAACAGAGACTATTGCTGGCTCGGTATAGTCTTTAAAATCACCACAAATACGATATAGTCATACTGATCTATCTACCAAACATAATGCTGTTTCAACAGTGACAAATCTAGAGTCTAGACCGTTGACACCACCATAACAGAACACACACTCACTTCTGAAACTGATGTTAATGTCAAATTCATACTGAACTAATAACCAACAGACTTGTCGAATAATCATCAAGATATAATTAGCTATAGTATTAAACTTTTGATTCTCATATACGAATCTAACCTCAGCTTGTGCCTTCTGAGCTTGCGTTTTGACCTCAGCATTCGCATTTGCGAATCTCCACTGCAAGTATCGATTATGAAGCAGTTTCAGAGAATGCGCATCAGCTTGTTGCCCTGCAACCTTCTTCTGCTTCTTCGTATCACCTTGAGTCTTCGAGTTAGGTGCCACAGGAGGCAACGACAACGAAGAAGCTCTTACATCCCGAAACGACGACGAATCATCACAAGATGAACTCAGAGACCTCCGGAGAGGAGACGACGCGGTCTGATTATTGACCTTCCTCGCTGGCAACAGATCTGAGCCGTTGGATTTCTCTCTCTCGTTCTCTTCTTCACCGTCCGTGGAGGAGACTGATAACCGGAGAAGCCTAGCCGCGGCCGAGGATGTAAGCAAACGCTGCTGGTTTAACCTAGATCTGGACGGAGGCGGCAGCATCGGCGTCGGAGTGTCGAGGCGGTGATTGTTCTCCTTCAACGGCTTGGATCGAATATTCTGCTGTTGGTTTTTGCCTCCGTCGTGGTGAAGAGGAAATGGAGAGTCTAGGCTACGCGTTGTCTCGGAAGGACGGTGGTTCTCGTCGCCTTCTGCTAGTTTCAACTGGCGTCTTGATTTCTGAACGGAAACGGATCGGTGATTGTGGGGATGGTGATGTCTGGGAGTGGTTAGATGGAGATCTCCGGCTGAGGAGGAAGATGAGGACGATGAGGATGAAGAAACGGGAGACATGAATCTCGAGCTGACTTCTCTCACTCTCGGACGCCGAGTAGACGGCGGAGGAGGAGGCGGTGCTACCGGTGCGATTGCTGCCGGTGTTGATTGGTGATCTCGGCTAGTTCTCGTCTCCATTTAACAATCGAATCAAAAAAATCAAATCGGATTTGAGAAAGTTTCGAACCCTAAGACGAAGAGGAAGAAGAAAGGGGGAAACGAAAACTGGTGGTTTCAAAATTATTTGTTTGTTCATTAAAAAAAGGAAGTAGCCGTTAAAAGGTAATGCTCACAAAGCATAACGTTTCTCTGGTCCGGTTTTGTAATTAATTAGTGGTTATTTTAATTAATCATGTAAAAACGCCTGATTAATATTTTGGGCCTTTAAATAGTGGACGCAGTAAGGAGCGTCGAGCTACATGTGAGAGGTTTGTTTAATGTAAATTTTAAAGTTGTGCTGGGTTTTTTTGCAATTTCCATTTTGCACTTGCAATTTCCTTACTTTTGACTTCTAGTCAAATTAAAGAGAAGACTTCATTGTAGCTCAGAAGTTAGAACAGTGGAAGCTTTTGTGTCACATAGAATCTTTGAAGTAATAAAACGGATCCTTTCTTTATCAATACACCTTTATTGGCAAATCAATATGATAATGATGATAACAACATGATGTATATAAAACCATAATCCCAATATTTTAAGAGACATTACAATAGCCAAATCATGAAAGCCGAACAGATGTTCTCAAAGATCAGCAAAGACTGTGAATATGTTACCGTTGATGTAATCATTCTCAACCAAACTCACCAAATAGTAACTGTTCTTGACCTCCTCGAGCAAGTTTCTTGAAGGGTCAGTTTCAGGGTACAAGTTAGCCCAGCTTCTTGACCAAGTCTCAAACGCTTCATCTTTCCACACTTTGAAGCTAGCGGGATCGACAATAGTAGGTTGAATGATCTCTTTACCCGGAAAAACACCCCAAGTAACAGCATTCACATCGGATTGTGCAGTGTTTGAAACCCAGTTATCTCCTTTGTTGACAGCTATGTAAGTTATAGATGGCAGAGATTTGCATTTCTCAACAACTGCATCTAACTTCTCCTTTGAGCAGAAGAACTCTAGGTAAGCCTTTTGGTATACATATCCACCAGGACCTCCCCATCCTGCAAACCATACACAAGTGAAAGGATTTTAATGAGTCTGAGTAAGTAGAAGTACTATTCATGAGACGAACTTATTGCTCACCAACAGTTGAGGAATCAGATCTCTCAGCGTTGACAGATGGTTGGCTATTGATGGTCAAGAAGCCTTTGGAGTTGATTTTCACTAGCTCCTCGTTTATGATCTTTGTCTCTGGCTGGAGTCCGTCCAGTTCAGACCATGGACTTGTTTTCAAGTTTCCAAGACAGAGCTCCTTGAATTTCTGTTACATGACAGTGTTATACAGTAAGTGAAGTGTAAAGATTGTTGCAGTAGTGAATGAAACTAGTAATGGATCTACCTCCTGAATGTCTTCAACGCTTTTCAGTGGGACAACCCATTCTTGTTGAAGCTTCTTGTCACGTGCTCGTGGACGTGAGAACTGACAAACAAAAGCCATTTAGTTTAGCACAAGAAGATTTTACATTTAACAATCTTCAGCAACTATATAGGCAATGAAACACTGAGAAAGTGAGGTTACACAACTACAGATGATGTTAATGTAGTACCTGATGATCCGTGAGTGCACCATATGAAGCACTGCGAGAATCACCCCACCGGCCTTGTGGAAAGTCTTCCCAGCCTTTGGTTCTAGAAATGTAGCTCTTAGGACGGTTTGCCCTGCAAAAGATTAGAGTAACTCTTATAGTCTCTGCAGAGGCATAATCAGAACAAGAGAAACTAAAGTGAGGTTACCAGAAAATGGGGCGCACATCTTCCTTAGTACGGAAAACATTTGCTGGGCGTCTCCACGGTAAAGAACGAGAGATTTTGGACTCATCAATCATACCAAGATTCTGCAACATCAGGACGATAATTAGAATGCTCCAGTATCTCTATATGATCTACACAACAGGTGGTAGAAAATGAGGACTGACCATCAATATGGCAAGAGCTGATTTTTCCATGTTCAATGTGTAGAGATGAAGAGACTTGGTACCATAAGCCAAGATCTTTCTGCACATCTCTGTTCCAAGGTGGATACCATAGGCTTTCACAGCTTCTTCATTATCTTGGATAGGCTCCAAGGCAGCCATGACTTCAGCTGGTATCTATTTGATGAAGCACAACATTAAAATCTACCTTTAACATATGACTATCACCATCATACAGAAAACCATATGTTCCCAAACACACTCTGAAAACAATAACGTATACTTTAATCTAGATGATCAAAACTAAGGAACCTTAAATACAGTTGTTGTTTTTTTATTTAGAAACTCAAATACAGTTATTTATAATAACCTTTCAAACATTCAGTAACTTAAAGGTTATTCATTGGCATGAGAGTTCATGTAATAAGAGTCTCAAAACATACCTTGGTCTTACAGAAACCAGTCATACGCAAGAACCCTTTGTAGTTATTAATAGGCATAATCCCAGGAACAATGGGACACTTAATCCCAATTTGCCGACAATCATTCACAAACTTGAGAAACACATCAGTATCATAAAAAAGCTGAGTAACAATCAAATCAGCTCCAGCATCAACCTGTTCCAAGACAACAATCCAAACTCAAAAAAAAAGCCAAAACCTTTGACAAAACAGTAACAAAAAAAAAAGAGACAAAACCTTTCTCTTCAAGTACTCAAGATCACTCTGATAAGCTTCATCAGAAGCAAGCCCATTCTCACCAATAACATCAGGATGCGCCTCTGTATTCAAAGATCCAATCTTTTAGCTCAACACATATCAATCACACAAAGATGAGAGTGAGAGGGTGTGATCATACCAGGATAACCAGCAACAGTGATCCCAAAGTAATCACCATACTTACTCCTAACATGATTCACAAGATCCAAAGCACAACCAAACCCTCCTTCAACNTTCTCACCAATAACATCAGGATGCGCCTCTGTATTCAAAGATCCAATCTTTTAGCTCAACACATATCAATCACACAAAGATGAGAGTGAGAGGGTGTGATCATACCAGGATAACCAGCAACAGTGATCCCAAAGTAATCACCATACTTACTCCTAACATGATTCACAAGATCCAAAGCACAACCAAACCCTCCTTCAACCTTAACAAACTTATCATGACCATGAGGAGGATCACCTCTAAGAGCAAGAACATTCTGAATCCCATTACCCTTAATAGTCTCAAGCGCGTGGTCTATCTTCTCCACAGGCATGTTAGTGCACGTGAGATGCATCATGCTCTCAACACAGACAACGTTCTGCATCCTTGAAGCTATGTCGAGCGTGAGATCAGCAGTAGATCCACCAGCTCCCCAAGTGATGTCGCAGAAAGTGGGACCGTGAGCGACCATACGGTCCATACGCTCGAAGAGGTTGTCTACTCCATCTTCTGTCTTGGGAGGGAAGAACTCGAAGGAGAAGGCTGTTTTGCCTTCATTGGCTAGGGACTGGATCTTGTCTATCACCTTCATGATCTTCTGCTCTGTTCAACAAAAGTGGTCGCAGGTTCTTGTTCTTGTGTTGCTCACTGCTTTATAGTAACAGAAATGATCCCAAGAAGTTTATTTTAGTACTGTAAAAGTGTCGCTGTCTTTCGCCAACCCCTGCTTTTAAGTTGGTGTTGGTAGAAGTAGAACCACTCACTTCACCACCTACCACGCAAGCAAGTCTTATACGGTTTCAATCTCAGAAATGAAACTGGTTGGATTTTTCAAACCGTCTTAACTTTGGCTTCTGTCGGCGCCGACACAGTTGCACGAAGATAGCTTTTGCTGCACGTGCTAACTATTAGCAGGTCTAATACTCCATTACTGGTTGTTAAACCCTCACAGACTTTCACATTAATTGTATACAGTTTTTGAGATTTTTATCAAACGGATGTATTTGAAGGCAAGAAACATAAGAAGGTAGAGCAGTCTTTGATTACAACAACAGTAAAGTACAGACAACAATGTCATACATACACCACAAAGTTTCTTGCAAGCCATCGTCATGATCATCTTTGAGATGCCGACGAAAAATAAGGAATGAGAAGAAGTTACAAATATGGTTATGTATAATATTACAAAGATTACATTCTGGTATGACACAGGTTAAGTTAGATGCAACAACAATGTCACTGCACCAATCCCAAATCACACTTAAAGGACAGATTTGTTCTGATTTCTCAACTTTTTTCTCCAAAGAAAATCTGCACAGAAGAAACCTGGCTGCAAAAGACTATTTTAATACTCCATGCTGCTATGGTAATTCTAGTGTTATGTTAATAGATAGAAAACAACCAAAGAGTTTTTATATCACCTTAAAAAACATTATTAGTCAGATAAAATCTCCCAATCTTCTTCTTTGGACATGTCGATAAACTCGGTAACACCATCCTCAAACATCACCTGGACCGAGTTTTAAAAAATGTCTTATATTAAGAATGCGTTTGCTAAGGGTGAACAATTATTAGCTTTGGTGGAAACATACCGAGTGCTTTCTTGTAAACTCATCAAACCTTCTAATGATGCCAAAGCACCTGTAAAAAAACAATCTCAGTAATCTACTAGAAAAAACAAAGCATGAGTCAGTAAACTAATCTGAAAGTCAATAGCAAGTCAACTATACCTATCACTCGTGGGGCGAGATAACCTGAGTACCACACCTATGCAGTTGCGAGGACATGGCTGCCCTTGAGTAAGCTTGTTCCATGACTTTCCTGGAGAAACGTGGGAACCCAAAACATACTAAGCTACTCTGGCATTTAGAGCAGAAAAAAACAAAAACAAAATCAATACTTACCTTCATGTTCATGTATAGCTCCATTTTGATGCACCTAACCAAAACGTAAGTAAGAAAAATTAAGTCTCTAGACCTCATGACACACAAAATCTCAGTGACTTTAACTATTCAATGGCAAAGAAAAGATCTATATATACCTTGGGCTGTGTCTGGGTCACTTCACATAGCACTACATTAAGAGCTTCATCCGAGGGTAATTTAGGTTTGTTTGGTTTCACCCCAAGCTTCCTTCTGCAACCTATAGCTCCACAATGGCAGTCTTGATCTGCACCAAACTGAACAAACCTGCTCTAATGCATTAGTGTCACAACTCAAAAAGGTTATATATAAACTTGAAAATGTATGGAATTCTTATTTCATTCAATCAACTAGAGAAAACATAATCTATGAACTTACTGATAGTCATAAGTCAAATGCTCTCCCTTTTTAATGTCACAGGTTGCAAAAATGCCTATTCTTGTCTCGCCATCAATGATCCTAATAGCAAGTAATAGAATAACCAAATGATGAGTAACTTAACTCAAATGTACAAAAGCATAAAACAATAAGCAATGAAGGTGATAAGAAACAAACCATTTCTGCATCTGCGTATTAGGGTTGCAACTATGATTGATGTATCTCGATTTATTCCCCTTATGAGTAGCATCAATCACCATATCTCTGTTTATCTCACACAGATAGAAATTCGTCTCTCCACGGTGTTTCATCTTCCAAAGCCTCTCTTCACAAGTCTTATCATCTATAACTATATCCAGCCAAAGATTTGAAGAAACAGTTTCAACAAAACAGGTTGCAATAGATTCATCAGAGAGACAAAAAAAAACATCAAAGAGTCATCACATCATTACCTTCCCCTACATATTCAATGATAAACTCTCCTTGCTCAATCTCTTCTTCTGCTACAATCCCTGATCCGCATTTTTCAGTCTACAAGAAACAACTGATATCAAACAAACCAACAACAACAAAAGCCTTTAATCCTAAGAAAACTATTCATAAAATTACCTGAATCAACTTCAACTTCTTGACATACCGGTGCTGGAACGGCTTATTATTACACTCATCCCCACACTTGCAACAAGAAGAACAGCTTGAGAATAGCATCCTACACAAAAAAAAAGATTGAATACACTTAACCATAAGGTGTAAATACTCTTAACATAGTTCAAGAAACTGAGGACCTACCCACAATGACAATTACTCCCACAAACAGTTGAAGAAGAAGAGTCAAAAGACAAGGAACAAGAACAGAATATCCCATCATCCTCAACTCTCTTCTTGAGTTTCTTCGTCAAGTATATATCTTTTTAAAACTAGCTAAAGGCTACAAAACAAAGTCAAATCCCAAAACCCAAATTGTATATTTTTAAAGATTTAAGAAAAAAGGATACTGCGCTTGATGAAGATGTAAGGAGTTGGTTTCCCTTTGTTCAACCAATCAGGCAACTCGAACTCCTCTGCTTCTCCAATATTCTTCAACAACTTGTTGAACACTTGTCCTATTTGGTTCTTGTCGGAACTCTGAGCAAAAATTTCAGACATTTATGACTCAAAAAGTAAAAAAAGTGCAAGAAGAAAGGAGATTCTTTTCGAACGAACGAACCTTCTTCGAGGCAGGCATAGCCAGAGATTCGAGTAAAGCCAATGGCTGCTTCTTCCTGTTATTGAAAGATTGGAAATTTCGAACGAAGGTGAAGTTGAAATGGAGAAGAAGAGGAAGTATCGATGGTGGATCTGAGAGAGAAGATGAAGAAGACTAATAAAGAAGATTGAGCGGCAGTTTTTTTTTTTTTTTTTTTTTTACTACCAACTTTGATAAGTGCGTATCTTCTGAAAATGGTAAAACTGTAAATTTCAGAAATTTAGAAACACGACTGTTGACCGGAATAATATTGGGCTTTTATGGGCCTATTAAAAGCCCAATCCAGTAGCAATATTGTTGCGTTATGTGTTGCTAATTTATTTGTTGTCGTAATCACATTTATGTGCTGCTAATTTTTATATTATTGCAATTATGCAACTATATTTTCTATAGGATATTAGAAGGTTTATGCAAAATAAGTTTATCGTAAGTGTTTATTTAAATTTATTTACAATTTCGAAGTGATAATCATAACCTGGATTATGTGAAAACTAATATAAAAAATTAAACAAGTAGAGAGAGATTATCAATAATTTATTTATAATCCAATCCGCTTAAGAGCTTGAAGAAGTAGAGAGAGAGAGATTCTCAGATTGTTCCAAAAAAGACAAGACACACGTTCGCCTTAGTTGTCCTTATAAGCGAAGAAGATACAACACGAAACCGATCTGCTTTACTCTTCTTCTTCTTCTTCTTCTCTTTGTTCTTACCCTTGTTGGTGATTGTTTGATCGATCTCTCAGGTGATCCTTTTACTTCCTGCTAAATATTCAGAGTTGTGACAATCCCTAAGCTAGATTAGTTGATTGATTAGCTCTGCCAATTTATAACTTTGACTTGATTCTGTTTGATACATGGTCGTTTCAATTGCTTTAAATGTCTTAAAAGTCTCGATATTTATTCTGTATTTTGTGATTTTCCTGAGAATTTCTCCAGTTTGGAGGATATGCATGTTGAATTTGAATGCCAAAAGTTATGCTTTATATGTCTCTAATGAAACCCTAAGCCCTCTTTATAAGACATAACGTTTGCTCCTACTTGTAATGTGTATGATGTTAAGTTTGGTGTCTTTTATTCCTTAATTGTTTCAGATAAGGTTTCTCAGGGATTAGATTTGCTTCTATGAGAAGGACACGTTGCTATTGTTGCTTCATGTCTAGGTAATGAAGGCTTTAACTGATAGATTTGTTCCTCAACAGTGTTCTTCATCAAGCAAGAGTGATATACCCTCAACGTCTCTAGTTTCAGATTCAGAACTTAGTGATAATAAGTCCAAGTTTACCTTGTGGTCCTCAGTTTCTCAACCGTATAGGGAGTCTTCTTCAACTTCGAGGCATAAGCAAGTTTGCGCTAATGGTTGGACAGCTTTTGTAAAGAAAGTCTCTATGGCGAGTGGTGCAATCAAGAGGTTCCAGGACCGTGTTTTAGGGCCAAACAGGATTGGTCTTCCGAGTACTACAAGTGATGTATGGCTTTTGGGTGTTTGTTATAAATTATCTGAGGATGAAGCCTCGGAGGAAACAAATGATGGCAGTTTAGTGGCTGCTTTGAAACAAGACTTTTCTTCCAGAATACTGATGACATATCGTAAAGGTTTGTACTATATTTCCACTACAAATTCAAGCCAACAGAAAGTTTTTGTCTTATATTTATCATGTTATATTACAGGTTTTGAACCGATTAAGGACACAACCTACACCAGCGATGTGAACTGGGGTTGTATGATTCGGAGCAGCCAGATGCTCTTTGCTCAGGTGTGAGGAAGACTATTTTCTTTTGGCTTTAGATTTGAAGTTTGTAACCTATTTAATAAAGCCAAGTATTTGCAGGCATTGCTTTTCCATAGACTGGGGAGATCTTGGAGGTTCAAGAAATCCGAGGTTAGTTTAGTGTTAGCATGTCATTAGCAATAGAGTATAATTCTCACAACTATTTATCTGAAATTGCAGCAGCCTGAGGAGGAATACTTAGAGACCTTGGAACCTTTTGGGGACTCCGAGGCTTCAGCTTTCTCCATCCACAATCTAATACTAGTTGGAGAGTCTTATGGTCTCGCTGCTGGGTCATGGGTGGGACCATATGCAATTTGTCGGTCATGGGAATCATTAGCGTGCAAGAAGAGAAAACAAACTGATTCAGAACACCAGACGCTTCCTATGGCTATTCATGTTGTCTCTGGCAGCGAAGATGGGGAGAGAGGTGGAGCTCCAGTTCTCTGTATAGAAGATGTGACCAAATCTTGTGTAGAATTCTCGAAAGGAGAAGCTGAGTGGACACCGCTTCTTCTCTTGGTCCCATTGGTTCTCGGTCTTGACAGAGTGAATCCCAGGTTTGCAATTGTGAAAGTTGTTTTGTTTTTGTTTTTGTGTTTGGTCTTAATTTACACATTGGTAATAATCAGGTACATTCCATCTCTCAAAGCCACGTTCACATTCCCTCAAAGCCTTGGAGTTTTGGGTGGAAAACCAGGTGCTTCTACTTACATAGTTGGCGTTCAAGAGGACAATGGTTTCTACCTTGATCCTCATGATGTTCAGCAGGTTTCATCCTATGCCTTATAAATTTTTAGATTTTAAAAAATTTGGTTTGGGTTGGAGTTGAGATGGTCCATAGGATGATTTGATATTTAAACTAATCATCCATGTGATGGCATGTCACATGTTGGTTTAACTAATTGAGACGTATCGGTTTTGATGATTAATGTAGGTGGTCACAGTGAATAAGGAAACTATTGATGTTGACACATCCTCTTATCATTGCAAGTAAGTTCTCATCATCAATCCTCCTATCTTTTCCCTGGACCAAGTTTTCTCATAACTGTATCTTCTTACTCTGCATCAGTGTCCTTCGTTACGTTCCATTGGAGTCACTTGACCCATCACTAGCCCTCGGATTCTATTGCCGCGACAAGTGTGACTTCGATGACTTGTGTCTCCGAGCAACGAAACTAGCTGAGGAATCAAAAGGTGCTCCGTTGTTCACCGTGACTCAAACCCACAGCTTCATTAGCCACCACAGCAGCTGCGAGTTCGTGGAGGGTATAGATGACAAACGTGAAGAAGATGACTGGCAATTGCTTTAATCATAAAAAAAAAACATTTTTTTACATTTATTTTCCTATCAACAAAGACAATGTTGTACTTTGATTAAAAAAAAGACAATGTTGTACTTTAAAAAAACACGTTTAGATTTAATCAAAAGCAGTTTGTGTTTCATTCATCATATATCTATTAAAATTTTCAGACATAGATTGAAGCATGTGAGAAAGGAAGAGTGGAGAAACCAAAAGGTATGTCATCAACACTAATCCATTTTCCGACACTCTCTTCCGTCGCTGTCTTCATCATCACTCCTCCGCCAATCATCACCACCGCGTCACCTCCGTAACTCCCGGCGTAAACTAAACTTCCGGTTACCGGGAGCTGTACACTTTCAATATCAAGTCTCCATTTTCCTGAATCGTCTTCAGTCTCCCACTGTAACTTGCTGTCCAAGAAACACCATAACTTAGAGGAGGAGCCTCTAATATCTCCAGTTATGCGGCCTCTAGGGCTAGTATCATGAAACGGCCATACGTTTTCGACTCTTGACCACGTGTTAGTAGCAGGATCGTAAACTTCTCCGTCGGAACGGAACCTCCCTTGAGATTCTGTTCCATAACCACTCAAAACACAGAATCCCAACTCCGTTAAATGGGCCGAACCTGGGCCTTTCATGTCCAAATCTAAATGGGCTATTTTTGGGCCCATGGCGAAGCCATGACACTCGTCTCTTCCTTCCGTCATCGGAGGAAGATACGACCACTCGTCTCTCTCCACATCGTACACCTCCGCTGAACGTAAAGCGTTCTTCTGATCGTCGTGACCTCCGGCGACGTAGATTTTCGTCGAACCTACAAGAGCGCAGGCGAAGAAGGAGCGAGGTTCCTTCATTGAAGCTCCTTTTCTCCACCTCCTTCCGCTTCCTTCTCCGGCGAGTTCGAGGACGTAGACGTCTTTCACCGGCTGTAACGTCTCCGGGTCCCACCCGCCGATGAGCAGAATCTTCCCGGAAGCCTGGACCGCGACGCACTCGCAGAAAAGAGGAATCTGGTGCTCGGGAAACGCGACGCGGTTCCACGTGGACATAGTCGCGTTGTAAACGCTCAATCCAAACCGTGGCGTTACGGAAACGCGCGGTTGCTGCTGGAGCAACACTTCTTTCTCACCCTCTTCAACCGCTTCAGACGCTGGTTTTGGCGGCGTGAGCGGTTGAACTAAGCAGAGAAGTAGCTCCGCTTTGCCGCATCTCATCCGCTCTAGACTAAACGAAGAGTTAGAGAGTAAGTTGCACCAAGAAGTGCAAACAGACTTCATAGCGGTCTGAAACTGGTACGCGACTCTTATCAAGCACTCGATAGCTAACTCGGACGGTAAACCGGGAATTAAACCGTGACACTTCTGAGATCTTTTCGAAACTTCTTCACCAGCTCTCTTTTTCGACATGTTCCAGATTTTTTTTTATTGAACTAATAAGTCTTATAAGTGTATGACAAGAGACTCAAGAAAGATGTGAATTTACTTTGAGTGAGTTTGAAGTTGAGTAAAGGTGGCAGCGCCTTTATATAGGGAATGAGGAGGAGGAGGAGGAGGAGGAGGGAGTCATGGTTAAAACTATGCGACGGTTCGGTTTATACTCTCTAGTTTTAGGAGCTTCATGTACTTGATCGTTTTGGATTAGGAAAGTAAAATATTTAATAATGTTTGTAATCGCAACCACTAATATTCTTTGGCACCCTGTAACCACAATTGTCAGCAACCTCTATGTTAAACCAGTCAGGTTAAATATATTAAAATTATAGAGATATACTATATAGTACTGTTTACATAAAAATAGTCTATGTTGTAACTTTTTTGGGTTAAGTGGAATTAGGTAAAGTTTGTATAATATTTCATCAGTTGAAAGTTGAGACTGTGACATGCTGATCACGCACTATATGTTTTAAGCGTATATAAAGGTAGCTCGACCTAATAGTTTTTTTTTAACTAGATTAATTACTATAGTCTATTATATTCACTTCACATAATGCAAGAATATGAACACAGAGGCAGAATTGTCAAGAGCAAAAGAGATCTTTTGATTTTCACGTTTTCAAACGGTTGATGTCATTGATTTACGGATAAAAACACTTTTTAAGTTTTGATGGGCTGTACATAGTGTAACCAATCAATGAAATAAGTTCAATAGTTCAACTTCAAATTAAGTTACCTATCAGTTTCAGTCTTGTATTATTGTTGAGGGTTCAACATCGACTTAAAATGGAATGCTTAACCATCTTGGTAACGTTCAGGAAGACCAGTAAGTTTGTATTATCATGTTTACTATAAGAGAAATGTTTTAAACGAAAGAAAGCCACTAAGCTTCGAGAAGCTTTACAAGAACAAATATAGTATGATACACTGTGACAAAGTGAGTCATATTCACTAAAGAGCACTCCAATGCGAGTGAGTCATATTCACCGAGAGCACCTCCATGGAATATCCTCATCTTGAATATCTAAAAATACACACATATATATAACTTTACAGGTCCTCAAATTTACAGGAAACTCAATCAAAAATATCTATACTAATATACTTTCGGTTGAGTTTTCCATAAAATTGAACCCCACAATTACACACACACACACATATATATATATCTTTTTTTTTTTGTAACACACATATATATATATATATATATTAGAATCCAAGAACTAAAACTCTTCATCGGGAGTGTTCTAACGCAACGATAACCGATATGTATTAAAAATATATTGAGCTTTATCAATCTTATTAAATTATAATCCTATATTTGGATCCAATATTTATTTTATAAGTTCTTCAACTAAATATATTTTTATTTTATAGTTAATTTATCTTAAATCACTAATACTCATTTTTATATACTATTATCCATATTTAAAAAAATACTGTAATTACTTTTATGTTCAAACAACAATAATATAAAACATTAAATCTCATATTTTTGAATGATCTTTTAAAAAAAAAATTCTTTCAAATTATCTTGTTAAACTAAATAATTGAAAGATAAATTAAAAACAATAAAAATAAATATAACTTATTTTTTCAGATTTATATACTACAAAAGAAATTCAATTAATAACAAATTAACTAAACCAACAGATTAGTTTATTTATATTTCATAAATAATGGTACATCATTGGAACATAATTTATTTTAACATAATAAAGTAGTCATTACATAAACTATATATATACAATACTTTGAATATGGATATTCAAACTGAATTATCAGATTACCAGATTAACCGGTTGACTATAGGTCATAGTCAAATAATTTTTTACAAATTAACAAATATTTCTTAGTTATTAATAAAATTTCATTTTAAAATATTTTTGTTGTTTGCAAACACGGTTCGAGATCTAGTTCTAATTTAAACTCCATCGTCATATCCCTTCTGCATGGAGCACGCACTATCAAACAAATTCTTCCACGACTAGTCCATAATCTATGCTTAATTGTTAAAAGTTATTAGATATCATCTTGTGTTTGTATACGTCTCATCTCATTACATTATATAATGTTGTGAGGGAAGTTGAGTATAGTCTTCTAGAAGGTCTCATGGATGCATTAGAATATCAGACTTGTTTGTCTTCGGTACGGTGACACGTCGACTATGACATGCACCGACGTAAAGGTACGTCTCGTGGACTTACAGCCTCACACAAGTCATCTCTTCTCTTGACCGTAATGATTCCACATGATTTTCATGCCAAATGCCAAGATTACTAAACAACAAAAATTATCGAGGTTCGTACGTTAAAGAATTACTGAAAATATATAACTTCATTTAGTCAGTCGTAAAACTTGTCATGTATAGGTAATTAATTGAACGCATCTTGTACACTGCAGAAATCACGTAACTATATCAAGAGTTCAAAAAAAAAAACTATATCAAGAGTCAAGACTATACGTACCGCTTGCAAAAAGGAAATATTTTCTTTTGTATGCATGCGAATCGTTACAGTTATATGTATTTATATATGGCTTCGTTCAGAAGAATACTTTTGTTTCATTCTCACGATTATTGTCGTTCATGATTACCTTCTCGTCCCATTAAATAAATGGAATCCAAGAAAAATAAAATTTACAATCTTGTCTTTTTCTTTTTTCGTCTTTTTCTCTGCCAATAAGCTTAGGGTAACCATAACTCCATAAGCCAGTGTCGGTAAGGTTCCTACACAGTTTAACTGTTACATCATGGCATGGTCAACTAAAAGTAATCGTTCTCAAAAATACTAATTCAATATCTACCGCAGAACGAACATCAAGTAAATCTAGTGATAAATTCACCTATTTTCTTACCAAATATATATATCCACCGCAGAAACGATATATACTAGATATATAGAGAAGATTCAAGCTTGAGATAGATTCAAAACTGGTGATGTCCATTTGAAAGGGAGGGGAAAAGGGTGATGATTACTTAGATGTTCTTGATAGATGTAATTATATGTGGTTTTATTAAGAGAATTGTTATTATATTGGTTTCAAGAAAAATTTGACGTTACTGAACATAGCCAAATTGAAAAAAAAAATGAATTTAGTGGATGAGTATGAGAAAGGAAAACAATAATAGGGTCGTACACTGATAATGGCTGGGTCCATTGTCATCACATTATTGTCTTTTTTCTTGTCAACTATCCTTTATTATTGTTATTATTGTTATTACTGTTATTATTATTACTGTATCATATTGTATGTAGTTTCTTCTTCTGTATTCTGAAGCATAAATAATTGTTGTCTAGTGAGTAGTGAAAGACAACAATCCTCGAGTCACCGTCGTAGGCAATCTAGTAACTTAGATTTTCTTTGCATCGTATATCGTTCTGGCTCACATGATTATCTACTGCATATTGGTATCAATAATTAGCCAAAGAAACTAACGTTGACGATAGTGTTCGTTAATAAAAAGGGAGACAACTTCATGATTATTTTTTGTCGATAACCAAAAGTATCTACTTTCATTTCTCTATTTTTCTTTTTCTTTTTATTTCCCTCAAGTAGAGCGAAGAGACTG